GAGGTGGAGATGCAGATCGGCGACGTGAGTGAGGCGGCGGCGCGAAGCGGGCTCGGGGCTGTAACGACGACTCTGGGACTCGCGGCACCGGGAGAACGGGGCAGGGGGAAGGCGGGGTCGTCTCCGGGTGCGTTGGGACCCCCGCCAGCTTCTCGCTCTGCCCTCCAGGCCGCCTTCTCGCTGACAAAGATCCTGGAGGCCACGTCTGCAGTATCGGCCCAAGTGGAGGAGCTTGCGACCAAATGCTCGGAAAACGCCAGGTTTCTCAAAACGTGGCGGGACCTGCTCAAGGAGGGCTACGATTCCCTGAAGCCCAGCGAGTAACCGCGCCATGGTGGAAAACGCGGGAACGGCTGCCGCCCGCTGAAAGGGGGGGCAACCCGCAGCCCTTCCCTCCTGCTGGCCCTGCCTTGTGACAGTGCAGCGTGGCTGGGATCATGCCATACCAGGTTGTATGCTCATGTTAGACCTCCACGTGTTACCGCACGCTGTGCCTAGTGTTTTTTAAACAAGTTTTTTTTTTAGCAGTTTCATGTGATGGGTTTATCTTGTTTTTCATCGACTACTCCCCTTGAGGTAGAAGAGACTTCTTTAGAAAATACTTGATAACTTGTATGTGTAAGAATACTATGTATACGTCTCTGAGTAAAATAACTGTTTAGGGGGAGTAGTCAATTGTAACTTTTAAGACTCTTCCTTTGTGCTCAGGTAATCTCATCTATGAAAGAGCTTTCCTTTTCCCTAATATAAGGGAAACAAAGGTAACTTGTAAGGTACCTCTAGAACTCAGCAGTTGTAGGAAAGTGGTATCCAATGAGGATACATCACCATTTCACTGGGCTAGAAGAAGTCCTGGTAACCCCAGAGAAGCCTGTCAGAATAACTTCTCTGTCCTGCTATGCACGCTCTTTCTTCAGGTTGAGGATGGGATGGTAAGACCTCACTATCCTTATTTACGAGGTCTTATTTAAGTGCTACAGATAAAGCCACCCTATCCCCCATCTCACTGTTGTAGGCAGTATTGCAATATATTTCTTCATCTATTTCTTCCTTGCATTTCTTTTACAAAGAATTGCTTGGATAATTACAATGTTACACCTGACTTCTTATAATAAATATGAAGTGCCTTATGCATGAACCATAAACGTATGTATAGTGGAAATATACTTGTCTTAGTTCCTGCTAGGGTGGATTATTTTTAAGTATTAGTGCAAACTTCTTTCAGTGAGAAAAGTCTGTGAACTGTGTTCTCACATCTATAGGACAGCAACTTATGGTTTTGGCTTGTTGTATGACCTGCCTCAAGCAGTAATATGTTACAGTGGGCACTAGATTAAGCAGGACCTTTTGGTCTGAAGAAATGACTGACCTGTAGTAAATAGAAATGTATTCTATGATGCTGCATTGAAATGTCTGTACCTCTACCAAACCACTGTGAAAAAATAACACTGAAATGCAATGGGAAGCTTCAGGAGAATGGGGCTGTACCATGACTTGTTGTGAGCCTGATTTTCAGTGGTAGAAGGATTTTTAAAAGACAAACTGTAGTTTTGTTAACAAAAGAATAAAGAAGTTGCATCAAGTTTTGAATTAACTGATAGTCTAAGGTTACTCATAGGAAACCAACAAACCCCCCCCCACATTGAATACATACATAAACAACTATAAATAAAGAAGTAAAAGTAAGAACAACTGTCCTTAGTTTCTTTATAAAAAGCAGTTTTGGTCACTGAGTATGCTGAGCTTTAATGGTAATCAAAAGGACGATCTTTATTGTAGGATTTCACTTGGCCATTTTTTTTTCCAGTAACCTAAAATTTTGCTAAACAACTTGGAGAAGAAGTCACTTTGATCTGCAGATCATCCTTTATTTCAATAAAACATACAGCAGTGGAAACAAGATGTTTAAGATACTCCAAAATTCTGTAAACATTTAAAGTGTGAGTCACACTAAACTTGAATTCTACTTCTTACATATTTAAGAAGTTAAGTGCAAACATCAAAGTATCTTTTAGCTTTGCTTTAGAAATCTTTAAAATCCTCACAGCAAAAGAGGCATTTTTCTTATCTTGGACTTCTAGGTTGCTGGACTGAGAGTGCAGTATTAGATGAGGCATAAGGAAGTCAGGGTCATTTGTAATGGAAAAATGCACTCTTGAGTAAATATACGTGAAGAAACTGCTGCTACCTGATCCTTAGACCTAGTCTAAAATAATCATCTTTGTACACAGAAAAAAAGGTAAAATGACTTTTACCTTTGTAACACCGAGAGTACAGTAATACTGAAAAAAAAAGTGCTGAATGTTGTGCTCTCTAAGTTATGTTAACCATAATGCATGTAACTAGATTCACAAGGTGATTAAGACTTAGGTGGCAGGATACCTATTAAGATATTAAGACTAAAACTCCTCAAGTGCTGTTGGAGAGGAAGAGGGATTAAAGACAGCCTTTTCATCTTGGTCAAGGATGAGCTTGCAGGAACTGTTGCAAGATGCAGAAATTATTTTCCTATCAGTTTTACCTGCAAGTAGGTGCATTGATGGATCTTCTTCCTGCTCTGACTTCTGGTTCTGGTGAGTCTCTGTGTCCCCTCCTTTCTTTTCCTCATTGCTGCAAAGCAGTAACTGCACATGGGTGAAGCTAACAGTGCACATGTCCCCGTGAAGGTTCACAGGGTAGTTATGGGCATGAGTTCAGTCGGTTGGACTGCGTGGTCACTGATGCTTCAGAGGAGTCTGTACAAAGAACAGGCTTCGAAAGCTTTGGTTTGATTTCATGCGCTGGCCACATCTCTACCCAAATGAAAGATGGACCATATGTTTTCTGACTGCCTTTGCCTCTTTTGGATCTTCTTTGTCTGTAATTGTGCCAGACCTGATGAATCATTTCTTTGAAAGGTCGTGTAGTCAGAGTGTAGAGAAGAGGATTCAAAGCACTGTTTATTGGCAGTATAAAGATCACCACCCAAGAAGTTATGGTACCTTCAGGAGGGAGGGGAGAAAGAGAAAAGGCAGTAACATGTAGCAGTGGTTGTACCCATCAGTCAGCAGGAGCACGTCACGCTGCGGGGGTGCAGCTGCCTTTTAAAAGTTGCAGTCCAGAAGCGTGTGGGGTCTGGCGCTGCTGGGCTCAGTTCACGTTCTGACACTGTTGTGACAGTCACAACCCCCTCCTCCCACGGCCTCACAGGTACTGCCCTCCCGTGTTTCAAGGGCTCCCTGCAAATCCTGATGATTTCCACTTTCCCAGCAGTTCCATTTGCCTCCCACTTTTTTAAGACATCTGTGACAAGGCTCCCTATTTCCCTATGCATTCCCTAAGCTGCATTTACTTGCCCCACGTCTGTTTGTATCCACTTAGCTCCCTCTCTCTTCCTGTGATCTCATTCCCCTAATTAATCATAATTACAACGGTGTCCCTTAGATCCTGTCCAAAGCTCCTCTCATCCCTTTTCCCTGAGTTGTTTGTGCTCGTCTACACCGGGAGTTCTCCACTCCTGATGAAACATGCGGTGTGCACAGCCCTATTTTCCTCTTGCTCTCTTGGTATCCCCCTTTCCTACCTTCTTCCCATGCCAAGGTTTCCTGTCCTCTGCTGCCTACCCCAGGGTGTCATTTTCCCTGCTCAGAAGGTAAGTCAGCTCATTACCTGTGGGACAGACATTGCTTCTGTTTTTCCCCCCACAATCCTGTCTTTAAAAGTCAAGTCTTTCAGGTAGTGGATCACTTCACAACAAAGCATTCTGAAGACTTTGTGTTACTGAAAATATTTTGTGAATGATCATCCTAACTCAGATATTTCATAACTTTCGTGTAAGTCAGACATTTCAAAAGATAACCCCAAAACTCAAGCATTTTCTCACCAAAGTATGAGATAACGTGTGTGTGTGTGCGCACACATATATATATATATACACAAATATATATGCACACACCTATAGGTAAATTCACACAGTTGTCTGTGTTCACTGTTCATACTAACATGTTCTTTCCAAAAACATTTACAAGCCCTACTTAAGGGGTCTGTTTTTCTAGCATTTCCTGTTACTACAAAGAAATGGAAAAAATAAGGTTTAATTTTTTACCTTTTAAGTCTACGAAGGCTAAAATTAAGGCTATTCACATGCAGGAATTTATTCACAGCATAAGGAAATACTTTGATAAAACTGCCTTATACAACTGATATTTTCAACTATAAGCGTCGTCGTGCTTGAACTATACTCAGGTAGCAGCACCACCAAAAGACTGAAATGCTAAAAGCCAACAACTTCAAGCAGGACATTTTGGACATTTTATATGTATCTTAGACAGACTTTCAAGATCTGTTGTCTTGGCTGTCTCTAATGAAGGTAAGTAATCTCTGATGCTTACACTAACAGTCCAGTGCAGTAATATAATGGACTATATAGTTCATTATAGTGTGTATGTGGATTATACAGAGATACATAGTGTACATTTCACTGTAGCAATATAGTTCAATGCATTCAGTTATTCTTCTAAATTAAGAATTATGGGCTTCAAAGTGCACAAAAGCAGGAACATACCTGGTATGTCTACTTGAAGTAGAGAAAGGAGTTTCAAGATAAAAATGGGTATCCAGCATAGTGCATCAGTAAATACAATGAAGAAGAAACGCTTAGCAAGAGTCATTTCTTTTTTAATATGATTCCGAATTTCAGTAGCCGTAATAGCTGTCTGGTGAACGCTGTAGAACATACTCCCATAGGAAAACACAATGATGATGAAAGCTGCCAAATTTACACCTGTTTGAGAAGTTAAAAATAGTTTTATTATTTGAAAACATAACAGCAATTCCACACGCCACTTATTTGTGTATTGGGGAACATTAGAGATATCTTTTGTCCAAACTGTTAGTCCACTAAGTGGCCAATCTGAGCGTGTCTTCACTCAAAACACTGAACACTTTACTAAAATATATATTTTAATTATCATCACTTGATTAATGGCTGCCATTAATCAGAGCCAAATTATATAGCTCTCTAGTCTTAACATTTCTTTACTTCTCTGACAAAATCTATTTACTCAGGTGCTTGGTGGATCTAACTTCTACTTTCTGAGCACTTTATGGATTTCAAGATATGTAAATACCTAATATGAAATATTCAGGCTAGAAAAAGTCTATAACTGCCTATAGAAGCATCTAAATATGAATTGTGGACATCACATACACAAAGCTGTCTTGTCTTAAAAACTAGGCTCATTATACCTGTAATTGTTGTAAAGAAGGAAAACAACTTACCTAAAAAAATGACAACAGAATAAATCTGACTTCCTGAACTTTCTGATTGTTCTGAGTGAAGAGGAAAACAGACGCCATTGGTGCCATAGTAGTTCCTGAAAAATTCCTTATTGCTCAGTGGGATAAAAGCAACAGCAAACCCAATTATCCAGATAAGAATCAAAACAGAAATTGTCCTGCATTTTCTGGGCTTCAAACACCTAAAAGGATAAACTATGCAGATGTATTTTTCCAAAGTCAGGTAAGTCAATAGCAAAACTGACACCTCTGTAGACAGAATAGCCAGCGATCCCACCAACTGACAATGAATACTGTCCATCCATAACTGAGCGTGCTTGTTGTATTCTCCACGATATTTTAGATCAAAAGCTCCAATCACAAATAAATATATTCCCATCAGACAGTCAGCACCTGTGGGCATAGTGCTTAACATCATTATTTACACATCTGAATTTTCCATGCTCTTTGTGTATATGTATATTAAAACAGACATACAAACAAGTACATATGAATGTATAGTTACAGCTGTCAGCTAATGAGTAGATAGATATAAAATAAATATTATAGTTAGAATGCTATTGAGATTTATAATTAAGGCAGTATAAAAGTTCTCTCCTTTTTTGTAACTTTTTTTTTTCTCCTTTTGAATTTTCATCTGTTGGACTGATTTTCTGCTTTCATACTTGTTTCCAAAACTACTTTTTAGAAGCTCAAATCTATGTATTTGTATTTCTGTCAAAGACAGAAAAAAAAGACACTTTTTTGAACAGGTCTTCTTTTGACATTGCCTTTTAGCTTGCGGATAGTTTGCTTTGAATAGAGAAACTGCCAGCTTCAGAGGTCAGTTTTGATTTGTCCACATTCAGTTTTCCAAAATAACGTGCATAACCTTTTAGCAAGGCTTGAAGGTACTCGGCAAACCTGGCAGACACCAACCCCGCTTCTCCCATTAGCTCAGTAGTGAAAGGCAGGAGGCAAAGGGAAGCTCCTGGGCACATCGGAATAACACCACAGGGATCACACTGAGCATTAAAATGACTGTCACTGGTGTAAATCCTTCAGGATCCTACATGTGCAGACGTATGCTTGATTCCCCTTGAAAATGACAACATGGGCTTAAAAATTATGAGCTTAAGAGATGATAAATTTGGAGACTTGTTTAATTTCTAAGCATTAGGGATGAATTTGCTTCTCATTTTCAAGTCTTCTGCAACTAGAAGGACAAAAAGCCTTCCTTGCTTTTTTAAATACCTTGGAATATCATAATTTCTCTTTTTATCCTCTAGGCTGTTTTGTATGAGCTGTCTAAGAAAAGGCTTGATAAGCATTTGTGTCATACTAGCCCCGGGAAGAAAAGAGGAGCTGTCAACACAGACCTTCTCACATATTCAACAGAGGCTTCTCACATGTTTTCGCTAGAATTTTTCAGTGGTATTCAGACTTCTGGTTCCGATGGCTAAAGAAGCCAACAAAATTTCAAAATCATGGGCATGCTCTATTTAGGAATGCTGCCATTTTATTTTATACGTGGTTGTCAGTTACCTTTCAAAATGCAACTAAATCAATTTATGAGTGAAAAATGTAAGTTTAGACCCCCTTGTGTACGAATTAAACACAGGGCACTTGGGTTTCACCTGACTGCACTCTCAGTTAGTTCATCCATAAGACTGCCTTGATTTTAGGACTGGACTGAGAAGCAGAGGTCTCAGTATTGGAGAGCTGGGAGTGATTGATTTGCTATATTTGCACACGCAACTATTTGCTCAAGCAAAAAAGTATAACTATCTGAACACAAACGATATTTACACACACGAATTAGAATTTATTCACAATTAGATAGTAAAATCTAGATTTATGGTCCTTTGAAAAATTTGGAATTTTATCTCCTCTTACTGAACAAAGTGGGAATTTGACATGATGTCCACAGCAGCAAAATCAGGCACGAAAGGTGCAGTTTAGCACCTGGTTATCGTTTCTGAACAGAGACATCATCTACGAAGACTTCCCGGTGCACGAGCTAGAGCATTCCGCGTTGTCATTCCCTGCGAGCGCGCCGCGTCCCGCTGGGATACTCACAGCAGAGGGACATGATGGAGATGGCGTGCAGCTTGTTCTCCGACCTGATGTAAGGCCTCATGCAGATAACGAAAATATTCCCAAAGCAAGTGACGGCGGATACCACCCACACAAACACTCTCTGGATAATGCTGGCTAAGAGGTTCTCAAGGGAGGAAATCCCATCTGTATTTGGCTTGCAGCTGCGCACGTGAGGGGCATATCCACAGTACTGAAATTTCTTAAAGTATCTAGTTGTGAGGGGGAGAAAAAGAAAGAAGTTTCAATTTGGATGATTTTTGATTCAGACTTTTTTGTTTTTAATTGTTCAGTATTTTGTAAATTGTACAACTGAAACCAAAGAAGGCAGACTACTTACATGTGGGAAAGGTTTCTAAGCGGTCTGAACATTCTTCTCTGAATGTTTCCAATCTCAATGCCCTCTAAGCTGCTGTAAACAACACACTCTCAATAAAAAGGCAATACAAACTCAGTAGTAACACAACAAGCTTACTGAGCATATAATTGTGTTCCTATAATTGTATGAAGAGATGAACTTCAGCTGCATCTAACCTGTTATCCCTTTGAAACTTAAAGGCAAATCTATATAGAAGCAAAAATTAAGTAAAATGAATTGCACTTAATTCCAATAAACTCAGTTCTGCCAAAAGCGCAAAGGAGGCTCTTTTAGTGCTCTCAGCAGGACAATATACAATTATTATGTTGCCCTTCCAAAGTATTGATCTACTGATGTTCTTTCATCATCTCTGGAAAAATAACCATTTGTTGCAATAGCAATATTTCACATTTCTCCTCTTTCTTTAATCCCAGAGAGCGCTTACCAGACAGACAAGCCACTGCAGGAATTCACTTTTTATTGTGTCAAGAACAGCAGGAAACTGGTATGGGCAACACTGTGTGCAAGGGCTTACTCACACCATATAGGTGGGTTTGCTTATTTTAGAATTTGTTTAATTAAGGAAAATTGCACAATTATTTCCTCTGCAGTGTCAGATCAGTAACACGTAACTGTACATGTTCTTTTACAACTTAAGTTTTCTGGTCAATGGTATGCACTAGAGTAACATGGAATGCAAATAAACAAATTTGGGTTGATGGGCAGTCTTGCTAGGAGAAAATAATAAGGCCTAAACATGGAAACTGGTTTGTTTTACTTATGGATTGGAATAAATCTGGGGGAATGCTGTCCCCGGCTACTCCTGTCTTTTCAAACTAATAAACAAGCCACAGATATAAACAGAGTGCTGAACATAAAGACATTCTGTTTCCTAGAAAAGATCTTCTCTCAAGATCTATTGATTTTATTATCTTAAATATATAGAAGCTCTTTTTCACTCAAGTGCATGGATTTTTGGCAATTAAATAATGACTAACATATAAGCTGCATCCCGACTGTTAGGGAATTATGGAATTTGCATCGGAGCTGCTGTGTGAGTGCACCCATTGCAAGTTCCCTTTACATTCTTCAGCAAGGTTTTTGGAAGACCCCCCTCTCTGAACTGACAGCTAGATTTGACTTGATTTATATTACCAGTTTATGTAAGAACTGAAATATATCCCAAACAGACTTATGCATATACCCAATTCCTTTCAAATTACTGTTTTTAGGTATCCTAATGCTATCTGTCCCTGGCACTAATAGCCCCAGTTGAGCTTTGTGTGGCCCTTACGTTCTACATACAAGTTGTGTGAAGTTGAAAATGAGTTTTGAATTTGGCATTGTAATAACTTATCTGCGATACAGTCATCTGGCACCAACCACATAATAGAATTTGGCATTGTAATAACTTATCTATCTGTAGTACAGTCATCTGGCACCAACCACATAATTTGCTTTAGTCTTTATCTGTAATGATGGAATAGATTGTCATTTGTAAAGACGGATTTATGATCTCTTTGCGTTGGAATGATTTCCAACACGAGATGGTATTTCAAGAAGAAAAATTTGAATATTGTTAGTAGTTATTCTCCAGATTAAAGTTCTTGAGTAACATCAATAAATACAAAATATTTCAGATATAATTTTTTATAAAAAGTATTCTGGTATTATGACTAACATCCTTCTATAGAGATTTGCTTAATCATGAAGAAAATATGGCTAAGATTCTTGTACATAAAAACTTGATACTTACAGGGATTTGAGTTTAGTTAGAAAATCAAACTGGTCCATCTGTATTTTCTTAATTGGATTATAAGAAAGGTTCCTGTAAATGCAACATGGACATAAGTATGTTTGTACATTTTCTTTACATCTTGTTCTAAGGTGAAGTCAAACAACATGATCCATTTGCACTTTCAGCGCTACTGCACGGGATCACGGAACGGGCATTAGCAACATTCACCTACTGTTCTTTGGCTTACTAAACCAGCAGAAAGACCGACTTTAGGTTTTTGACTATAGAAATACTTATTAATTAAACTTTTTGGACTTTGTTTTATTTAGAGACTACAACTCTTTCCTCTTTCTTGCGTTTCCTATTCCCCCAGAAGTGCATATTTGGGGCCGGACTCTCCAGGTTGAACATTTTCCCATTAGGAACTTTTCATTGCTAACCATTTCAGCTCTGTCTACAAAGAGCTCAGACTTCCTGGATTCTGCAGAGAAACCCTTGTTCTGATTCAGCGTGCAGGCTCCCTTAGATAAAAGTGAATTTCACATAAGTATTTTTTAGGCAGAGCTTAAATGAGCAAAGATGCTTTTTTCCTTCCAGGCATTTATGACTGAAAACATCATATTGAATGAATAATGACATATAATAATAATAAAACCCTTACAGTTGTGAAAGCTCCTTTAAATCCTTAAATATATATGGAGGAAGTGATTCAATCTTGTTGTTAGCCAGGTCTCTGTGGAAACAGCCATAGGTGGGATATAGTAAGTTTTTAGTAGATTCAATAGTTATACAGAAAAGTTTTATAATTTCAAGAGAGATTTTCATCCCATTTACCAAGTAGACTATTACGTTGTTACAGAGGTTACCAGAAACTTGGGCTATTAAATAATGTTAAAACAGCAGATGGAAAAACATGATCCATCAGAGCCCTCTTTACCTGGTTAGTTCAGATAGGTAATTAGATGAATATTTTTTTATTATTGTATTTACATCTAAAAGAAGGAAAAATGTTTTTAACTAGGGCTTCAAGAACCTGGAAAATTCCCCTCACGTCTCATGTGGGTTGGCCAGCACTGCACCTTCTCCTTAATTCTTTTCTCTGTCTTGCTGCTTGTTTTCACTGAACTTGGAAGATCTTAATAACTTTGGAGAGAGAGGAGTAGAGGTCTCCATCTGACTGCAACCACAGGCTTGTTTAAAAATAGTGAAGGTGCCAACAACTGCAGAGTGACACTCGATTAATACAACTTTATTCAGGAAGCATAACAGTCTTATGAGCAAAAGAGCAATAGTATTTGACACACTGAGTATGTATTTTATTGGCTATTTCTTCTTCCTTAAATATTTGGAATAAAACTGTGGATGGATGATATCTTCCGATTATAAGAAACAGAACTCACAGTAAACACACAAAACACACAATTCTAAATTATAAATCTTTGTCATTTCTATAAATAAGAGAAGAAATCAACTCACAATTCATCTAACATCCGGAGAGAAGAAAAGCTGTTTTCATTTAAAGAGATGATTTTATTTCTTCTCATCACCCTGAAAGAATAAAACAAGCTTATGTTGCTGCTTCTTGAAATATATTTGTTTTCTAAAGAAAGTTTGTGTAAAGTTTTAAACTTCATTGTCATTGTTTTTGTTATCTTTTGTTATCAAAAGCATCTTCAAGCATCTGCCCCATTAATTCAGAGCCTTGATTTTTAATATGCCTGCAGGACAGTACAGTACTAGTAACCGGTGGTGTTTGAGAATTCCAGGTTGTGCACGTGGTTGGGCAGCGTTTCCTTCCACCTTCTGTCACGCAGCACTGTGCGTGCCCTGCAGATGTAGCACCTGGATCTTATAACTAAGGAGAAAACCAAGAATCTGAGTACTGTGGAACAGTAAGGATTGAATGTGGCAGCTCCTGTGGAGCCTACGAATTTACCAAAAGGCTAGAGGGATTTTCTGAATGGTTACATCAGCATTAAGGAAACTTAGGGGAAATTTCTTTAACTGAAGAGCACCAGCGAGTCAGCCAATGAAGTGAGCTAAGGATTTTGTATGTGTAATGATGTTTGTGTCTTTCTATGGGAAGATTTTTGTCTTCTTTTCCAGGTCAGAAAATAGAAAAAAAATGATCTAAATCTTTTTATCAGTCAAATATCACTTCAGTAAAAGTTTAATCACAT